AAATGGGAATATCAGCCCAATTCTGAATACTCCAAGGGAATTTTTCTCCCAAGAAAGAAATCGTATAATAATTAACTCTTAGGGAGTAGCATTTTCCCCGAAAATTTGGGAAGAGGAATTTCGAACTTCGAGAGCTCTGTGACACTTTTTGACCGTTCAACTCCGCTAACCGTTTAAATCCTCGAGGAATTTTTCACTCATGATAGGAGAAAAGAAAAAACTCCCAGGGTGTTTCTGTCGAGAATCGCATATTCGCTCATCCGGATATAAGAAAAATCCTGATGGAACTCCCGCCCTAACTGCAAACCCCTCAATAAACAAAAAGTTTTTGTTGCTTTGCAAAAAATAATAATTATTTATTCATACTTGGGTTGCTGTCAATGTGGTTCCATGCGATTTCATATGCCCACTAAGACCCGCATATTGTGCAAAACGTTTATCACAAATTTTACATAAATATTTCTTTTTTGCTGCATGGATTTGTTTATGTTGGCGTAGATGCTTGCGACTTGAAAAACCTTTGTTACATATATTGCAAATTTTGTCTTTTATTTTCAAATGTGCATTTATGTGCTCCTTTAACATTGTTCTTGTATAGAAAGGCTTCCCACACATTTCACACTTGTGACGGGGCCGGTTCTCGTGACGCTGCATATGAGTACTAAATAGTGATGCAGTTTGGTATTTCTTCCCACATATCTCGCAAAAGTATGGTTTTTCGCCTGTGTGTGAACGTGTATGAATTTTTAGATCTGTAGAAGTAGCAAAGGATTTGTCGCATATCTCACAGGTATAGGTGTAGTCATGTACATGTCTTCGTAAATGTATTGTTAAGTTTGTGGGTAATCTAAATTCATGGTCACAGAGATGGCATTTATATGGCAGTGAGCCATCATGAGAAGCTAAATGCACTTTATACTGACCTATACCAGACAGTAATGTTCCACATATTGAGCACTCAAATGGCGGAACGTCGACTTCGAGAAATGCAATGTGATCATAAAAAGGACATGTCGATATGTACACCGTATTTAATTTTTTACATGTTAACTTTTGCCTCTTTTCTTTGGAACAAATTTTTCGCATCTTTCCAATTTCACTCTTCAAATCTTGTTGTGTTAGATTCAATCCCGATCTTGTATTGAATTCTTTTCGTACAACTTCTAATGCTTCCTGGCGACGGTTTCCAAACCTATATTTAATGTCCTTTTCATCCCAAAGGCATGGAAATCCTTTGTACAGTTCAGCTAAAATCGCTATTTGCTCGTCAGTAATTAAAGTGGAAAGCGGATTGAATATCTTAGCTGTTTCCCGATTGTTCTAAAAAAAAATTTATTGTTAGTAATGCTAGTACGGTACGATTTGTTTCGTGTAAGCAATTAATTGAAATGAGTATGAATGTGCATAAATAGTAAGACTTGCCGGATTTGATGTACTTGGCCTTTGTTTCAAAAAGAAAGGCAGATCTGTATACCAAGTGGGAGTATATAATCGACCTTTCGACTCATCCATTTTTTTTTTTATAATCTCTGTTTGCAGTTTAACGCGCAGTTTTCCAAGTAGCAATTGAATGTTTTTCCATTCATTTGGCATGCCTACATCTGAGGCTATTCTCTGGAATAACCGCTGTTTCTCACTCCTATTTTTAGTAATTCCTCCCTTTTTATCCCAGAGCGCAGGATACTCCATATAACTCGAAAATATGGCCTGCATCTTATTAACAGGGAACATCTTTTTCAAATCGGCCGGCTGTAATTAAATTGATTTACTGATTATATACATACGTATATATGTATATTTTAGAAACCTGCTTATCAGCAACAAAAACT